TCCTGCTTTCACTGTAAAGCTCAAATATGCTCTAACCCATTATCTGTGCTAATTCTGTAGTCTGTTAAATATGTATTATGTGCAGATTTGCTCATTCATGAAATAATTTGCATAAACTCTTACACATGGAGCACCACAGTACTTTGTAGCTTTATTATATGCTATACAGAACCAGAGTTGAACTTTTCCAATAGAAAAAATGTTCCTAACAGAGGCAGTCTTGGTTATCTTTATTTAATCAAATTTATTATGAATTCCCAGTCTCATGTTTACATTTTAGTTAAAAAGATAGAGTTCTATTACCCTTCCAAAACTGCTGAAAGGTATATGAAATGTTTCAGATCATTACATACTATTAAGAGATCAAACTTTGCTATATTTAATACCTGGAAGAGAAAGATAGGGAGTTTCTGAGCATTTGAAAAAGAAGAGTCCTAGATCTCTTAATTAAATCAATCTGCAGTGGGTATATCCTCCAGAAGCTGCCTGGGAGGGCTTCCACAGGTTAGAGATTGAACTAACTGAATTTACATGGAGGGAAAGAAAGGAAATGAAGCAGCAGAGAACTCTGCAGAACCAGTTGGCAGTGAGCCACCTGTTAAGCAACCACAGCTACGTCAAAGATATCTAAAAATATATCATTTGGCTTGGGAGCATAATGCCCTCACTCCAATGAAAAGGCACTTTGAGAACAGCCAAAATTATGTTTAAAAAGATTTTGTGTTTATTCTTATGTCAATGAAATATATAAGAAAAATGTCTCTCATAGACATTAAGTACCAGATACTTTGGTGCAATAAGTATTGAATTCTGTTAGTCTCTACTTATTCCCCTACTCCTCTCTGAAGTAGAAACTATTCTTTGACTGCTTTCAGTCCTGTTGTCTCCCTGCCCACTGCACAGCCTTACACTCCTATCATATCTTGTCTCCTTTTTACTTCTGCTGAGGTTTTCCCTCATTTGTTATCCCTCCGAGCCACCTTTTTCAGTCCTGTTTCCATTCCACTCACTTCATTCACTTGCCCTCACTGCACTGTCATCCTTCCCCTTCAGAGAATCCTATTGCTTAGATTTCTGCTCTGTGATTCTTCATTTCCATACACTGCTTAGGCTTCCTTCCTGCTTCTCACGTTCCCTTTTCCCCTCTCAACTACGAGCCTCACCTATGTCTGTAACCTCCAAATTGGCTCTCCTGCATTTCCATGACTTTCCTGAACTTACGCATTTGCCTCCAAATGCTTCCATTTCTGTGGAACCTGTCTTCCACCTGCATCTGGAGTGTATCTGTCTTCCTTGTACCGTCACCTCGTGGGGGGAAATCAGTGCATCTTGCTTGCTGCCATTTTACTCTTTCATCCATATTTACTCATGTATTTTCCACCTACTTTTAATGTAGTCATAAGCCTCAGGTTTGAGAAATTAGTGTGTAGATGTAGTCCTGATGAAGGCATTAGTGTGACGACTCTGAGTGAAATCTCCTCCTCATTTTTTTCCTTCTTCTACCCATGGAGTACTGTCATAATCACTGATAGAGTCAGGGATAGTCGTCTTGATTTGTGATTCGTTTTTGTGGAAATACTGTGGCCCCTTGCAGCAGGCAAAAGCTGGCTGATGGTGAGACTACCAATAACTGTGTGGCAGCGTTTTCCCACTATATGTTTCTTAGTTTCATCTCAAACAGGTAACATTCATAAGCTTAATGCCAGCAGTAGTGAGATTATGGAAGGTCTTAAAATTTAAAAATATCAAATATTGTGAAATATTTGAATATGTGAAATAAAATCACATTTATTTGGAGGCCTGTAAGTCTCACTCTGAAAACATCTGGCCCCATTAATGTTAAAATATTTCAGTTCTATTACTGCAATATATATAGCAACTTTTCTATTTTTAATACACTCATATTCTCCCACTTGCACAATGTCCGAAAACCCCAGTATCCTCTAATCTTGTCAAGTGAGTGAAGGAAAGCTGAATTGTGATGCAGTGTAAGGGGCTAGCTTCAGTAAGTCAGATACTTAGCTGATGATTTTTCCATAACCATCATTGAAAGTGTCTAAAGTTGCCCATGAAATGAAACGGAACAATCTTAATTTAGCCCCACTGGAGTACTGGTAAAAAGTGAAGATGCTGAGACACTATAATTCTTTAATAATTTGCATGTAGGTGAATATTGGCACCCAACACTTAACTCCTGAGCTGGGCACCAGTGAGAACATAGTTTGACATTTCTCTTCCTCCCTCTCCTCTCTCTGGGAAGAAGTACTAGAAAAGCTGGCAAACAACACACCGGTTAACTGTTACTGAAAACTGACAGTTATTATAGATAGACAAAAAGTATCTGCAAATCATTGCAGCTCGGCTAACTTCATTCATACACACACACACGCACACACATGAACTAAGTAAGAATGTGCTGCCAGTGTCATGGTGATTGCTGTTCCTATATGCGGCACATTTTAAGTCATGTGTTAGTTAAGGACCTCCCGAGAGTGGATTCTCCAGTGCCTGATTGAAACAGCAGATGTCACTGTAAAAGGTGTTTACTTAGCAGCAGCCATTTTGATTAAATCTGTCCAGTTAGGCTGCAAATGTGAAAGCAGACAGTCTTCCCTGGTTCACAGAAGTCTGCCTGCAGTAATAAATGTAAACACATACATTTTGGAAAAAAATTATTTAGAAGCTTATATGGAGGGTTATACACCTTTTCGGACTTTCTGCCCTTTCAGATTTTGCTTCTGCTAAGTCTATACATTTTTAATAATCACACTGCCTGCTAGCAATGACTGTTTGTGAAGGTCATTTTTCTTGTGAAGTTAGAGAATGGGCTTGAATTCCATTGAAGGACTCCCTGAGCTGCAAGGTCATGGTTTATGGAACTCTTTTGCATCTTGCACTACCTTTGAAGCCTCTTTAGAATCTTAACTAATGAGATCTTCAAAGTGTCACTGTGCTTAAGGGCAAACAAAGAAATCTCAAAATACACTTTATATTTAAAACTAGTTTCGAATAGCTTTGAAGCATGGTGTTAGCCAAAAGTAAAAGGCATAGATATGCACTTGCAGCGTATGCACACACACAGAATTCAGTATATCACCTACTTTTTTGTTCTCAGCAAGATGTCTCTACACCATTGCAAAGCATTTTTCTTCTGTACTGCAAAAATCATCAGGTATATGGACAGTCGTCAGAATTTTTAATATGTTTTTGATAATATCTCAGGAGGTATCTTTTGGCAATCTCCCTCTGTGGAGAGGTTTTAGTTTTGAGTACATCCTACATCGTTTCTAGCCTGTTTCTTCTCATTTTCCTTTTGTTGAAATAGAGGCCTTCGGTTGTATTTATATGACTTTTTTGTTTCTAAATAGAAGATGACAGATACTAAAACCCACATGCTATGCTTGAAATAAGAGAAATTGTGGTCTCAGCCATTTCATTTAAGTTGTTTGGTTTTACAAAAGTCAAAGGTCCTTCTTCCTACAACTGAGCGCATGCTGAGTTTGCTTAGAGGTAGGAGATGCAAAGTTTTACTTGATATTTGTGTCTGATGCCTGCCGATATATGCCTCTAAAACATGTTAAATGTTAGTGGCAATGTATGAGATTATGGTCAGTGGGATACCTGCAGTTTTTTAGTTTTGTTTTGTTTTATTTATTTCTTCCCGTAAAGAGTTCTCCAAGCCCTACAGCTGAGGATAGTGGTTGACAGTTAGGACTCCTGGGTCCTTATAATGATACCTTTGGCTTACTCTGTCATTCTTCTTCTCTGTGACTTTGTATTTCTATTTGTAAACAAGGTATTTGCAAAAGTACACAGATCTGATTTATAAAGTAATCTTTCCCACAAAACCACTTGTCTATTTTTCTTCCATTTTATTCTTTTACTGTATCAAACTGCCAAGAAAATTTAGCTTGTTCGGAGTGTCCTTATATTTAAGATGTGCTTTTCTATTGTTCTTTTTGATAGCTGTACCATCAAAGCATGGCCATTTGCTGGATGTTTTGCAATGGATTTCACAGTTTTATGAGCATTGCTAACATGTTAGTTGTGCCAAATAATTTAGATCCTTGATTCGGAACATGAGTCAGGATGGTCCAAAGAACAGCTACTACTGTGACAGAAATGAAAAGAGAGTGGGGTTTGTAACCTTCCTTTGAAGTGTTAAGTCCTAACAAAAGTTAGAGGTTGGAGGACTATAACAGAACGCCTGCCTCCATTTGAGAAAATGCATATTAGGAAGTAAGGACAGAAATTTATGCATGTCCCTGGAAGATAATTTCCCAAGTGATTCCCTCTGTGGAAAAAGGACTAAAAAGACAAGAATTTTCAGACTATGCTTCTCAGCCTTTTGATGCCTACTGCGAAGGGACCGCTTGTGAACAAAAGCCACCAGCCTGTTTAGAATCGCTATTTTGCTGACATGATCAAAAGGGAAGGCTTCAGCCTCTGCCCATTACCATTACCATTTTACTATTTTCCTGCCTGCCTGCTGCTACATGGGCTTCCCTTTGCAATTTTTTTTTTCTGTCTTCTGCTCAGACAGATTCACCTTTCTCATGCCTGGGAAAATCTCAACTGGAAAATGCAAATGAGATTGTTGAGGAAGAGAAGACAGCAACATTTAGTATTCTCTTTGTATTAAGTCTTCTTTCTGCTTCCCTCCCAAGCTTTTTTCTGTTTCTTTTAGAAGGAGCTGTTGCTATTTATGTGGTGTTGAGTAATGTTTCATTCATATTTAGGGTCCTGACTTTTAAAATTTTCTGTAGGAGTCTTTACAACAAATACAGCTAACAGTGCTTCTTCCTAACCCCTTCCCTTTCCTTATTTTACACAACCAAGGGAAAATTCTTTAAAAGGTTTCAGTACTGAGAATTTATCATGGACATCTTTGGACTCTGAAACAATTAAAGGAGATATTCTTACCCCAAAGTTAGCTGGTTATATATTTCTTGTCCTTTTTGTTGTTTTCACTCACTTTGCTATTTAATCTTTGATTACAGGCCACTAAAGAAGTAATAGAGCGAGAAGCCCCAGGGATGGCCCTGGCAATGTTGATGGGATCACTTAATGTTACTCCTCTGGGCATGCTCTCTAGGTAAGAATATTTCTTTCAAAATATTAAGTGAACTGTTTCCCTGGAAATACTCAAGGTAATGGAATGAGTAGGCAGAAATGACTGATGACTGCCATTTTGCTCAAGAGTAGAAGTCTTAACTTCAGAGAAGTGGTCAAATTCTAGGAATGATATTTACATTCTGTAGTTAAATTCCCTTTGGAGTTTCCATTAGACCCTGTATTGTCCTATATTTGCTGTATCAAACTACTTGTAATATTGATGCATGCTGTTAAACAGCTGTATTTTCACCCTAGAGCTGTGGCATTTCAGTGGTGAGTGAAGAATTCTTCTGTATATTGGTCATCAAGTACTAAAAGCCTTCCTTTAGCCAAAAAAAGAAAAAGATAAATGCAAATGTGATGTTTTGATGTTGCGTTTTATGCCAGTATCGGCAAAGGCTCCCTAATTAAGTTAAAAGGTATTTTATCCCATGCTTTCAGATTTTAGCACTTTAACTGCTGAACTCTGGTATTTCCCACTAAATAATTAGTTAATTTTTCGTAAGTTAATTTGGGCTTGCACATTGTTTCAAGGTGACTAAAAACCAGTGATGCTTACAGTTTTTTGATTTCTCATTGAATAATAGGAAAACAACAACAAAATAATTATAGAAGTTATGAATAAAGAAGGAATTTGCGGCTATATTTGATAATTTGTATTCAGGTGCTTGCATTTTTAAAGAACATTTAGATGAGAGTTTTAGAGATTTGACAGGGTATTTTAAAACCTTTTGTACCACTTGCTGGGGGTGAAAGAGCAACATTACCAAGTTATATCTTTGGATTCTGTCCCAAGTAGCAAGTATTTTCATTTTTATATCTGATGTAATATTTCATATCATACTTTGCCTTTATCTGAAAGGAAGGGATAACAGCGAGTGCAGCAGCAAGGAGAGGAAAGGTTAATTCAGCTATTCTGTTTCTGATTAAGAAAAGGATAGCTGTTTATATGATACTGCATAACCAAGCTTGGTTTAGGGTGTGGTGTGGTCAGAGTGGCTGAAGGGATGGTTGTAATGGTAATGGAACCAGAATGCAGGATTGCACGCTGACTCTTCTGTGTGTAGAGCAAGAAAATGTCCCTGAAGTACAGCCACTTTCAGTAGTCTTTGAAGAGGATGACAGAACATCACTTTTTTCTGAGTCTATACTGAAAATGTTTTGCAAAGATACTGTATGCAATCGTATTAGGCCTTCAAAACAATTTCCTGCCAAAAACCCATATTTCAGGCCTAGAAGTAATCAGCATAGAAAAGGCTGGTATGTGTATAACATTATTACAGTCATGAAGTTAAGTGCACAAAAATTACATAATTCCAGCATTCTATTTTCTTGGGCAATATCAGTTCTTGCCCAGTGATTGCACACATGTGTTACTTTTTTTTTTTCTTAGAATTCCTCTGCAAGAATTTAAGCTGGAGGGTACAAAAATTTACTTTCTTTGTTTTGATTGTCATATGTGTACTGCTATATCATTTTTGGTACCCTGTATTCAAGATCTCTGCATGCAGACTTGCTTCCTCTGGGAATTTTCTTACACCACTTCTTAATGTAAGACGTAAATTAGCTACAAATTGCTAATATATTTTCACAGAAGACCTTGTAAATTTAGGTCATTTTGTTATCCCCCTTTTACAATAAGAAGTAAGGCATACGTTGATAGAGGTCAAAAGCGTACAGTAATGTTAGGTACGCAAGTTGAGAAACGTAGATCCTGATTTCTGAGAATACTTAGCATTAAATGTCATTCGTTCCAAGCTTAGCTCTCATTGACTTCATTTTGACTTTTGAATAATCAGTACTTTGATGAATCAGACCTCAGTATCTCAAGCTGAACACAAGGAAATGAGGAACAAGCAAGTAGTCATTATTTGTGAAAAGTCTGATCGTGTGACTTGTCCACAGGAGTTCTGTGGCAGAGACAGTATAGTTTTTGATTTTGCAGAGTAGTTTGCCAGCTGTGAAGCTACGCTTTCTGTTACTGCTCACAGTCCAACCTGCCCAAATAAGACCAGTATCTTACATGCAATAATTACATTTATTATGTAACCTTGATTTGTCATAGGAACATCTGGGGACTAAATGAGGCAGGTATTCAGTAAATCATATATAAAAATATATGATATAGTTCTAAAAAGTTATTGCACTAGCTGCACATGAGTGAGATAAATTTAATGAGAGCAATCAGCTTCGGTTCTAGAGGTTCCTTCTTTTGCATAATATATTCTGCACTTTTTGTAACATTCATATGGATAATTTTGCATGTAATTTCTTGTGCTTTTAAAAAGGAAACAAAAACAAAAATTGCATTATGCAGCATTAAGCTTCTATGAATCACCCACAATTTTGGAAAAATTAGATCAATCGCATTGACTTTTATCACTTAAACTTACAGAAATGGTTATAGGTTATAAGTTGTCTTCCAGCATAGGTTATTGGTTGTGGACCAGCATTAGGAGGTGATACTTACTGATGAACAAGGCGCAGTGAGACTGTCATATTTTGGATTCTGTTCGGAGCTCTAGCAGGGAATATCTAGGAAGGTCATAGAAGTTTGTCTGTGTTCACTGGGAGTGTTTTCCTTTCTTCTCTGTGACCTTCAAACTGTTCCTTCTCCCAGAATTATCGCTTCCCTTCACCTTGTTTCTTATCCAGCTCAGCTCCCCTTGCTGTTTGGTCTTTGCTGAGGCTTTTAAACCCACTCTCTGTCTCCTCACCCACATACTTAGCTTTGCCCCCATCACAGCTTCTTTTCAGGGTGGTTATATTTTTTTCCAGTGAGATCATGTTCTTCTCCTCTACCTCTGCATCAGACTTGTATCTCTTTCTTCCCACATCCACTGTTTTACTGTCTTCCCCCCAGTCTCGTTTTTCCTTCCGCTACCTTGCTTCTCTTCCTATTCTTCTTTCTTGGGTTTCTCTGTTTTTCCTTAAAATCTGTGCTCTGCATCACAAGGCTGAGGATAACAAGAAATCCACAGCATCTCTCTCAAGTGTTGCCCATTTTGAGCAATATCATTCGTCTCCCAAGTTACCCAGAAAGCATGCACATTCTGTGTTTTTATGTTGTGAGCACAAACAAGATTTTTTGCAAACCATACGGTTCTTACTTGCTTTTACTTGCTTTTGCATGCTCTTGAGAAATTTTTGACAGCTCCATTTCTGCTTTGAGCCACTAAATGTGATTGTAAGCAGCCTAAACTTCTTGCTTTCTGGAGAATGGCTGCTGTTTTAGTCCTTTTTTATTATTGGTGGTTGCACTGGTCATTTAGCTTATATTGTTCAAAATTATTTAAAGCAGAATAAAAGAGTCAAGGAGATTATTAAGGGAGTTATGTGTCAAACAGCACTGTGAATAATTCCTATTTCCCTTATATTGAATCTGTGGTAAGTTATATGCTGCATATGGGACTTGCTGGATTGTGTTTTTGGTACTCTCTGACTTTCACCAGTGTAGCAAGTGAAAAAGTACATTTCTGTAACTTAGGCTCTTCATCTTTGTACTGCAGGAGAACATTCCTAAAGTGCCTAGAATTCTGTCTTAACTCAAAGGTTCTTTCATGACTGGGAGGTGCATGTAAGAAGTAAATACAGGGAAAGAGGCCAGGAGTCAGGCAATATTCAAGCTGGCAGTTGAACATAAGACCTATCTCCTGTTCAGACTGGTTTGACTGTGATATCAGATGTTCATTTTTGTAGCACAAAAAAAGCCCCCATGCTATTTAATTGTGAACACTCCGACAGTTGTCACAAGAAAACTTGTAATTATGCTAGAAAATGCCATACTACCAACAAATGACATTAATCAATTTGTATAAGAAATCCAGGAAAGTTAGCCACACCACAAACCATATTCTTTGACTCTAAATCTTTGGTACTAACCTATGGAGAAATTTATTTTTCTTCATTCTCTCTTTGTTTATGGCTTATGTTTTTATTTGCTAAGGAGATAATTTCTTTTATACTGTGCTTTCCAAAACTATGTAGTTTGCTTTTGTGCTTTTCTTTTTTTTCTTATCCTCCTTCTTATCCCCATCCCAGGTTTTTCACCACTAGTTTGGTAAACAGTGGAGAAAAACAGGACAAAATCTGATCATTCTTTTTTTTCTTTTCTTTTTTTTTTTTTTTTGGAAAAGTATTTAGCTAAAAGGAAGAACACGCAAGCTCTAAAAGGCCATAAAAGAATAAGAGCAGCATTGTTCAGCACCTGAGTGTTTAAATTCAGCCCTGCATCAAGACCAGAGTAATTCCTTAAAGACAAAAATAAAATTTTACTTGATAATTGATTTCTTCTTTTTTGAGGATGAAGAAAAGACTTTTAGGAAGAATTAGATTTGAATTGCCTAAGTGTAATTTTCACTTGAGAATCACTTCCTTCTGTGCCTTTCACATGTTGTATCTTTAAAAAAAAATGAAATAGTTGAATTAATGCAACCAGCATTACTTATATTTTTGTCTAGCAAGCCGAATAATATTTGACGCCATCAACCAGGTTGCAAAGGAACCATATGTTTGAACAAATAGGAATTAGATCAAAGAATGTATTTGATGCAAGTAAACAATAGAATTAAGGGACCACAGGTCCAAATAAGATGAAAATTTGTCACTATTCTGTTAGTTGAATGTCAGAATATGTCAGCCTTGTCTCGTGCTTCTAAAGCTTCTCCTGAGCCATTTTATCCGAACGTGATCGGCAAACATTTTTAGATATTGTAGAATGATCTGACAAGAGCTGATAAATAATAAAATTTCTCTAAATACTTTCTTCATGTTTTTATGGTGGAGAAAGTTGCCTGCAAGAATTTCACTCTCTTTTTCTTTTTTTTTCAGACCTGTATGTGGAATCAGAGGGAAAACTCTCATAATTAATCTGCCAGGTAGCAAGAAAGGGTCACAGGTAAGAAGCGTACATAATAATCTACTACTGAGGTCCCATGATAAGTGCCTCTCATTGTTTTGAATGGTAGAAATTATCTACTACAACAATTTTACAAAAATTAAATGAAATGCATATTCATATAACTGAATGCATCATCGTTCTCAGTCAGGGAAAATGCAATTCCAATCTGACTGAAAGTGCTGTGCACAGGAGAAGATTACATGTACTTCAAGAGAGTGCTAACTGCAGCAGACAGTGCTAATGAAAAGGGTCTAATGGTCCCTTACACTTTCTCCTTCTTTTCTAGTCAGTCTGTACCTGATCTCTGTTTGTCTACAGCTTCAAGAATGCATAATTTTCTACACAGAAGTAAGAGAAAGGCCTAGTGTATGATAAAACCTGCTAAAGTGTAAAGACTACTCCCAATTTTGGTCAGAAAGATGCAAAAATAGAACATCATTTTTAATACTATAAGGATTTTTGTTGATTTTTTGTATATAGATATCCAACTTTACACTCTATGTAGTTTGTTTTCTTCTTGCGTTTTGCTCGGTTTGGACAGGGAAATTAGACCTTGCGTTTTTTGGAATGCTTACTTTCTGGCTGTTTTATATGAATCACACATGACATTATTACCTAACATAAGAATTCCTCCTTTACTTTACAAATGTTTTACTCTTTACTATTATTATTACTATTTATTACTATTTGTAAAAGAATGTAAAAGTGTAAAAATAAATCAAAAAGTTAGGAAAGCATGCAGGTGACAATTTGAAGCAGACAATAGCAACTCAGGTTTATATTTCTGTCCGTCTCTGAAGGATAGCCTACTCAACATACACACAGTTGGTATAGATACATATTTTCAGTTGACATAGGAAAGGTTTTAACCTTTGCAGTGTGTGCAAATGCCATGTCACCTCCTTTTCTCCCTTATTCTTGGTACATGGGATTTTAAGGTAAAGTATGTCTGCCATTATTTAAATTCAGCTAATCATCTGGTAGAAGAGATCATTTTGCCATATAAACACTTATCAGTTGCATGGCTTTTTTACTTTTGCCTTCTGTTTGTCTAATCTCAGTTTAGATGTGGTTGACAGAGACAGTTGATGCCAGATGTACCATCCTCACATGGCTTCCTCTACTGGTGGCTCTACAACTTAACCCTCAGCATCCCACCAGTGTCTCATGTAGTTTCACCCAGGATCCATGATCTGTCCTCATAAGCACTGCCGCCTCCTTCTCGCTTAAGTGCCATCTCCCCTCCTTTTGGGAAGTTCTCGCTCTTTTACTAATCATGGCTATAAATCTTTCAGACTCTTCGTCCACAACACTGTAGTTAGTATCTGTGCAATACAGTTGCACTTCTACTATTTGCCACTTTCTGCTAGGGAAGTGACTACTGGCTAGTCATTTTCCTAGGATCCTTGTCATGCAGCTCTGCTATGTGAAGAAATAAGAGTATTTCCTAGCATTGAGAACCATAAAAAAAGTTCCTTATGTTACAGAGGATCAAGGTACTACCGTAAGTATGTTTTAGTGTAAAGGAGAAAATAATGGTAAGAAGAGAAGCAAGCATTGAAATATATCTTGGTCTTGAGAGGGATATAAGCCTTGTAAGTTCAAGTACAGAATGATAACTCTAGCCACTGCCATCTCAGCTATTCAAGAAGGAACATTAATACCTCTTGATTTTGCTGGTGCCCGTTTCCTCATTTCCATAAGGCATCCAACAGGAAATATTCTTACTTCGTATTGACCAAGAACTTCTGTCAGTACAAGAAAGTACTGTTCATTCTTTCAACAGTTCAAGGGATCTTCATCAAGGTGCTGGTATTCATTGGCTGTGTCAGCCATTTAGGGAGAGAGTAATTAGAGCTAAGGGGTGAATGTCAGGGTATTGAATTAAGTACTTTGTGGTAAAAGAAATTAGGGAATGTGGGGAGATAATAGATATGCTGTCAAGGTACAGCCAGGGTGCGCATCTAGAGATCAGAACTACAGGGTGCAGTATGGACCGTATCTGCTGTAGCAGCCCATCTGAAGAGGTCTAGGTTTGCTCTGCACCTGTATCTGGATGATGGCAAAAAAGCAAATAAAAAACCACTTCCTTCCATATCTGTAGCCATTCTCCAACTTTCAAAAGCCTTTGAAGATTAGTATCCAGAAGTTGCATCTCATTCCTAACTTGTCTATAGTGTTCATTTGAATTGCATCAGTCTCTGTAACAGCAGTCTTTCTTCTCTAAGAGAGAACTCAGATAATACAAAACCGATTCAGTGCCTAAATTTCATCCCTCCTCTCCACAGTGAAATCTGACCTAACACTTATAGGATACATGTCAGCATGCATGTTTGTGACATTTCTTGCCAGACTATGTCCTCAAGTTTAGAAGCTTAGCTTCAGACTTTCTTTTCCTGAAGTATACAACTCAGCCTTAAGGTAATAATCACCTAACTGATCAGGTTATCTTTGATTTGCCTTTTCAACTCCTTCCAGATAGGTCCCCTCACATTACTATGGAGTATTCATTTATGTTGTCTGACAAGCTTGGGGTAACTGGCCCTCTGGAAACTTCTTGTCAATATTCTGGAATACAGATTGGTAGGAAATACACAATGAGTTTTTCAGTCTTATTTTATTTGGCAAATACCAATTGCAGCATGATTTCTGTGTTCTAGTTTAACACGCAAGATGTTGTAATGTCTCATTATCTACAGGAAAACAGTAGCTCTCAGAAATCGTTCATGAGGTGATGTGTGCATGATCTATGTGTGGGGTATTTTGAAAACAATTTGTTTCCTCCTAGAATAGGAAAGGGACACTCAAGATACTTCCAATACTCACAACTTTTATAGGAGTTCTGGATGACTCTTTCGTTATTGCATGTTAATTGAAAGTGTTTGTTCTGGTGCAATCACTTCCATCAGAAAGTGAAAGAGCTCTGGGCCTCGCTGTTTGACATCTCTTCAACGGTATTATTTTAGAAGCTGTTCCTATGGAACTCCTGAACATTTTCAAGAGTGGTTACTGAATTTCAACTTAATTGGGAGAGAAATTTACCTTTCTCCCAGCAAAATAATTCTAGGGCTGAGATTATTCTTCACAAAGAAACATTGGGAGGGTTCTTTTTGTGTTAATAAGACTAGATCTTTCCAGTGGTCCTTCTGTCTGTGTGGATGGCTGATAGATCCAAAAAATCAGCCTTCTCGACACAAATACTACAAAGCAGCATAGCGGGCTATAGAACCCAGTATGAAACTGATACGGTAGATCTTCTATCGCTCATGAGAACATAGCAATCTTAATAAAAGATATCTTCACCTCTAGCATCTATCAAATGCATACCTGGAAGTCTGTTGACCTCTGAAACTGTTACTCAGTCACGGAGGACACAGTGCTAATGTGGTGTTTGGCAGAGCAGTCCTGAAGTTACTGTTTGCCTGAAAGACACACATCTCGAGAAATAAAGAATGTTTGTGTGCTGTCACCTGGAAGTAGAGGAAGAAATGGTTTTTAATGCTATTATTTTAAGGAGTAATCACAGTTTTTCAGATGCGTTGTCTGCATGTTTCACTGTATGGAGTCTTTAAACCCCCCTGTGGTTCTGTGATTCCTTAGAGTCTTTTTAGGAAATCTCATGAGATTCTAAAATTGAAAAGAAATTAAAATATCATCAAAACATGCACCAAGCATGAAGGAGGGTGGGGCATGAGTATACCTACTTGAAAGTCTTCCAGTTATGAGTGGGAAGGCATATGTATATACGTGCACGAACCCACCAATGGGCCTCACATCTCAGAGAACTGGTTTACTGGTGAGTAGATTTTTTTCTGAAGTCTATACCTCTTTTGCTGAATTATGAAGGAGATAAAGTAGCCTACAGTCTCTGGCCATTTTTATTATGTTCAGTAGCACTCCTAACACATTAGCTACAGAAGAAGTTGTCACTTTCTGCCCTAAGGCATTCAGACAGTGAAGGTGGATAAATGGTATACAGAGGAAGAGAAAAAAAGAAATGGAAAATGTTAATAAGTATTTTAATAATAATTTGACATATAAGTAAATAATAAAAAGGTAATTCCGCTGGAAATAAAAAATATTGCTGTTGATTATTTGTTGCTGTCTTGATGATAATCTGTTCCGTCATCCTTTATTTTAATGTAAAACATCTTAAAAGTGTGAGATTTCAGCAAAGGTTTTTAAGGCATGTAGCAGAGAGAAGTGGTCGGATGAGTTGTTACCAAGAATTTCTCTCATTGGAATTCTCTCTCTTTTAAGATTTGCTAATTTCTTTTCCATCTCATTAGTATAATCGTGTAAGAAGCTTATATGAAGCTATGAAATTGCATCAATATATGTATGTATGATGCAATATTAATAGAAAATGGTAGCAGTGTAAATGCTTCATATCAGAGATGGACACAAATACTTTCAATTAAAATGTAAAGAGTTGAAGATCAGAGTAGTCTGAACTGAATATGTAAAACTTATTCCTTCTCACTGTATAAATTTCTCCCTTTTTATGAGTGACAAGTGGAAGTTCACTTCTAAAAAGGAGAGGTGTGTCCTGTTAGGACAAAAGTAGTATTATAATTGAAGGAGAAGGAAGAAGTACTTCAAATGAAGTATGATTAACAACTGTTTGCTCATGCCTTGGTCAGAGCTTTGGTCAGAACACCACTATAAAAACTTCTCTTTACCAAAGAGTTTAAACTTTACTGTGAATGAAATCGTCGGGTATTGTCCAACTCAGAATATTTATTACTGGAAATGATATTGGTAGGAAAAGATCACAGACTAGAATTTTAAATTCTGGATTCAATTTGTAACCTTGCAAATAAGAAAAATAAATAATTTTTCACTAATGAGCTCTCCCTCTGTAGCATGAAGAGAAAGTACTGGAGAGACCTCCCCTATCCTATTACTGTCACCATTTCTACCTGTACTTCTAGTAGCTAATTGAAAAATAAAACTTTACAAGCTCTCAATTTTACATAAGGCTGCTATAACACGATAGTGAGGAAAAGCCCCTGTACTCAGAGCATCCAAACTTCTTAATGTTCCAAATTCACCGTTTGTGTGCTGTAGCCCTAATATTGTATTTGCAGTCATGAGATGCTAAGAGTTCCCACTTCAGAACAACTCTCTGTGCTCAATTGCGTGGCAGACTCTAAAGTGTTCTTTGTAGTGCTGCTGTGGAAATGAGCAAAAGGAGAGATTCAGGTGATGCCAAACAGGTTTTCTCAAGAGAACTTTTGTGTGGCATGTGCCACTGAATCAAGATTTGTAAATTACTTCTTTTTTTGTCTTACAAAAGCTATTCAATACTACGAAAGAGAGAAAAGTGTGATATTACTAGATACTCATTGAAATCCTTGGCTCTATGACAATTTACGTAACTGTACTGACAATTGCCTAAAATAGCATGAATTTAGAATACTCATTGGGAACCTATTCATCAATAGGCAAGCCAGTGAGACTTCATTTTGGGGGTAGGAGTGGGGAATGTACTTTTCTACTGGGTTAATAAGTAATGTACTTTTTCAATAACATATTATTTAATTATTGGTCAGTTCAAAGATTGCTCTCTCTGTCCACTGCTTCCTTGAGGTCTGTTTTCTTATTGAAGTGATGTTGGTTGTATACTTTAATTTTTTAAAACATTTTTAAAATAATACTCTGGAGGCCCGAGAACACTGAGCTTTGCAGTTACATTAGGAGTTGTATTATTTATTATATTTACATTTTGTATATATATTCATTACATACAGCATTTTATGCTCGTCTAGTTTACTCCACTTCTTCAGTGTACCAGCTTGAATGTTTAAAAAATTTATAAATCTTTTAAGTAGTCTGACCTTTCATTACTCTTAAAAAGAGCATTTGAAAGGTGGTTTCTTAATTGGAAGCTCTGGAGAAATGGAGTGTGTGTGAGTCATGTTTTTAACTTACAAAGTGGCTAATGCAAATTCTAATAATTTCTGATGGATAGTGTTTATTTTGTTTACTTGGTTATTTTTATATATGAAAAATGTATACTGACAATATCTATTTACTAAATGTTTTTCATTATTTTCTGGACACTCCAAAATCTCAGAGTCCGTTCAAAAAAAAAAAGTTTTTCTTTCCTTAAGATTGAAACAAAACCAAAAATGAAGCAAGTGCAGCAAAAGCAGTAATGTCATCTCCTTCTACTCAGCAGTTGATATGTTCCTTAAATGCACTGCCACGGCAATTCATTGCTGTGGCCCCACCATCATTCTGCAGTCATATAAACTATATCTGTACTCTTCTCAAATAACATGAAGAAAACTACTGAGGTGGCTGGCAGAGAGACAGCAGTCATAAATTGAAGCAAGGGAGCTTCCAAGTGGATTAAAAAAAGAAAAAAACACCATAAGGATAATTAAGCATTAGAACAGGCTCTCCAGAAAGGTTGTGGAGTCTTCGTTCTTGGAGGTTTTCAAGGCTTGACTTGACAAAGTCCTGATCAACCTGTCTTAATTCAGTATTGACCCCAATCTGAGCTGCACTAGAAGACATCCTGAGGTTCCTCTCAGCTGGAATGATTCTTTGATTCTATGAAGTACTAGCAAACTTTAGCAGCAGAAGTAGACATGTGAATGATCGTTATGGAACAAGAAGACACATTACACAAAAAGAACAGTTGCACAGCATCTACATTTTTTTTCCTCCAGCCATAGAAGAGAAACTTTTTAATTTTTTTAAGATCATAGAGCAAGGAGAGTTTTAAACCATAGATTATTTAAGAACAATTTTCCTGAATTATATGAAATTATAAGGAGGTCAGCAGGGTTTGTCATTCTTCCAGTTTATAGGATAAGTCCATGAATAAAAAAGTATATGGTTATATAAAAGCATAATTATGGAAACCCTCATGAATTGTTCTCTAAATGTGAAAGAACATAATAGGAATGAGGTGAAGCTAATATCCCTGCAGGGATAGAGTAAATATTTTTTTTATTCTGCATTTCTGTAGCATTCTGCCAACTTATATGAACTTGTTTCTGTATTATGTATTCAAGAGAATTTAAGTCTTGTTTTCCTAAGTTTTAATCCAACTTCAGGTTAATTAAAGTAGCTCTAACTGTTGTACAACTTAGTATATTTGGATGTAGAATAAAAAAATATATTGCATAGTCCCCAGTTCAGGTTCTCAGTTTTTTTCCCTCAATGAGCAACTGCACGTTTAGAGTTTTATTTACGGTCGGGTGGGAAAATATATCTAAATCTCAAATATCTCTTAAGAGCAAATCTGACAAATCCCTGTCTACTTCTGCAGGTAACTTTTCATAGTCATTTCTCTTCTTGTTGTGTGTAGGAATGCTTTCAGTTTATACTGCCAGCCCTACCTCACGCCATTGATCTTTTGCGAGATGCCATTGTAAAAGTAAAGGAGGTACATGATGAACTTGAAGATCTACCTTCACCACCACCTCCTCTTTCTCCTCCTCCAACCACCAGCCCTCACAAACAGACAGAAGACAAAGGAGTACAGTGTGAGGAAGAGGAGGAAGAGAAGAAGGATAGTGGAGTTGCATCAACAGAGGACAGCTCCTCTTCACATATAACTGCAGCAGCCATTGCAGCTAAGGTGAGTCTGGCTTGTTTCCATAGAGGCACTTTAGTTTTGATCTCAGTACTTTCCACCAGTATTGTATTTGCATGTTAAAGCTCTATGTTGATGTTGGTGTGCTAGAACTGGTGGATTTTAGGTAAGTTTTCTAGAAGTGCAGCTTCATAAAAATCTGTGGATCCTGTTTTGTTAGGTGATCACAAATTTGAGTAGAACATAGAGTGTTTGTTATCTTGATGATAACATGCATTTTTATGAGACAATCTGATGTGACAGATTATTTCTGGTGGTTTTTTTAGTTCAAAGTACCTACATACCTGAACAGACAAAGTCCAGTAAGTGGCATATTAAAGAATCGTAGCAGAATTTTCTAAACCACAGTATCCATTTTGTGTCTAAAAACAATGATAAAAAATATGACAGAGAGGTAGCAGATGGAGACTACTATTCCCATCTACATGTCTGCGTAAGAGATGTGAAATTCTGCCACAAAACTGTCATTGCATCATCATTGCTTTCACCAGTAATTTTAGATCAATATTACCAAAACCAAAATAATAAATTTTAGACTATAAAAGGAAAAAAATATATAACACTTGCAAGTAATTATTTAAGTTAAACTGTTAAATATATTTTCTAAAGAAATACTATATTATTTGAAGTATTATATAATTTTTTTCTCAGTTTTATGCCTTCAGTTTACAACTAGAAAGACAATGAGACGATGCATTTCTGTATGTTTGGACAGGGTTTTTTTCTGAAATAATTTATTCTATATTAATTCCTACTGTGGGAACTGAAAATCTAAATAACTCAAAATGATAATAAACAACAACTAAATCAAAGCAGCAGCATTCTAACTCCAAAAATGTGAAATCAAGTCTAATGTATTTTAACATTTCCAAGACAGCTGCAGCTGGAAATCATCTCCTTGTGTGTAGAAAATCATGATTACGTATGTCTTTACAGGCATGAATTAAGCTAATTATCACTTGCAAGCTTTTTTTTTTTGTTAATACAAATTTTAAATTCATTAATTTCTTTTGGTATGAGCGAAGACACATAATCTCTGTGATTTTTAAAGGCAGAAAATACCTGAGATCTAAACTGGCTGTGTTCATATGAGTTTGGCATTTCACTGTCCCATTTTGTTTTCACTTTGTTCCCTTCCAGTCATTTGCTTGTATAGTTTCATATTTTCCTGTCACTATATTCATAGCTGTTATGTATTGTGCATTAGAAGCATCCATCCTACACCAGTTCAGCTGTTATCATGGCAAAAGGTGAACAGCCCATTCCTGGTCTCATCAGTTATTGCCATCACGCAGCAGGCAGTGCAGGAGAACCGGTAAGACACACTTAAAAGAGGCTTTTGGACTAACTATATCTGGAGATATACTGCCTGCCTCCTATTCCAGTGTATGAACAGACAGTGTTAGTTATGCTATTCTAACAAATAAACAGCAGTGCTATCTTTTAGAAAACATACTACAGAAAATATTCTGTTTAAGATACAGAGCTTTAGCTCTGTGTAAAGCTCAGTGTAAAGTTCATGTTGGTTGTGTCAGTTTGTATCATCTGGCTGCTGAGATAATCATTGCTTTAAAGCCTGTGTTCTGATCAGTCATCGGCTTTTGTCACCTAATATATTCAGTTATTGAATATGATTAAAATAATCTCCTAAAATCATAACCTTAGAGCTATGAAATTTTGGTAACTTCTTCCCTTTGTTTGTATTGCTTTGCTTTTTTTTTCCCCAATAGCTTGTGTGTCAACATAACGCACCGTTTCCACTGGCCATTCATAATTTACTTTCATCACTTACAGTTTCTCCTTTATTCTTGTATTCTGTTTTGAAGTACTGTTTCTCAAAAACAGAAGAGAAGACTTGAGGAGTCAGGATCTAGTGTCCTTTCATTACAAATTATTGGCTTCCAGTGAAGAATAGGCAACTATTTCAATGAATAATAGGAAAGAAATGGTAACTCCAACTTCAAGTTGGTCCACACCCTGATATTATAACCTGGAAGTTTTAACTCAGGCTCCAGCAAAATATTATACTTTCTCTTCCATCTGTCAAAGGTTTAGTCTAGAAGTGAATCAAGACAGAATAATGGCTGTAGTGACATCAAGAAGAAAACAAAGTTTATTGTATGCATGACTGTAGGTTAGAGAAACCTACAGTGGTTGGTCTAGAGAAACATGTGCTGTCTGACCAGTTCATTCTACAAACTGAATGTAAATTCTTGGGACAATATATCACTAGTTTTGTTGACTAAAGGCTGCACTACTTTTGCCCCTTAGGCTAATAATAATTTAAACCATCAGTCAGAAGGTATAATGCTGCTGTATTTAGGACATGATGACCATATTTATTGAAAAGTCATTCAGGAAATGGGAAAGGAGGCTTTAAAGTTCACACAGCTAACAATAAAGCTATATATATATGTACACACATTTATTCCAGTAGTTTCATTTTTTTCTGGTGAGGTTAATGAACTAGGCATGTATATCGATATCAACACTATATTCTTCAGGATCATTAAAACAGTGGATTCAGCCACTCTCTGAACCATGCTATTAAACTATCAACCTGGCTTCTGTGCTGTTTGGCTAATTAGTCTTGAGCTATTGCATGGTGCATTCTGTAGCCCAAATCTGCTCTTCACACTCAGAGCAGAAAGTGACTAGTTTGTCAAAAGTTCTTTTTTTAACTTTCCTTTGTTTACATTTTTAAGATATTTTTGCTCTTGTGTAACAATCACCGTAATTACCATCCACAGCTTATCTTCCTAGTACCTTGCCAGCACTGTCAATCTGTTCCAGTCCTGGACAAAAGAGAATAAAGAGCTCATATCTTTTCCTTTCTCCCCTTCTTGTCAGCATTTAATTCTCTAATCTCAAAATGGAAATATTTTAAATCAATATAAAGCTACTTCTGGAAAAGCTGATACCAGATAAAATTTCAGAAGCAGTAATTGATGGAGATGGTGGATAGGGCTGTGCTCTTGTTTCTTTCTGTGCTAATATGTTACAAGGGTTTTTCCCTTTCCAGCTATCTGTAAACAGAAACTATCTTCACTAAACTTAAGAGTTTTAATGTGTTCTGCTTAGAGTTTTGAGGAAGCCACCCTCTATTAAATTTGACTGAAACTGGCAAATGAGTTGAAAATTCTTAGGGGGAAACATCGTAAACATACTCAGAATATGGCTTCACAGAAGTTAAAAAAAAAAAAATCTCCACAAACATACAATTAAACTCCTGTCCTTCCTTGTTCCAGATCTCCAGGCTTATCTCCTAGGATGATTGAACTCTTCAACAGGGCTGATAAAAGCTGACTTGACTAGTGATGCAGATTATCTAAATTTATTTTTAAAAAGAAAAAGCATATTAAATATAAGTGAAAGAAGTAAGATATTCCCCTTGTCTCACACATGTGTATACATAGAAATCACATTCTGTTGTCCCTCTCACATACTGAACAGTATATATGCAGTCTATTTTTCGTATATTTATGTATATGTAGTATAAATATTAGTACCTTCTCTGAAATCAGTAGTTTGTGATGGTTTAAAGAGAATATTAATGCTATTTTTAGTCAAATGCAGTCTGCTGTCACATTAGAAAAATAGATCCCTTGAGAGCAAAAGTTATAACTGGAAACTAACCTGATTTTTCCAGTGAGATTTTGTATCCAAGAAGGCTAGTAAGATCAAACTTAGAGAGTAGATAGGTTTATATATAGGTTATTTAATGGTAATTGTATTTTCTGTAAAGACAGTGGTTAGGGAATAATTTATATTGAAATGAAGTGTCTGCAATCATATTTTCCCTTCGTCTTCAGCTTACTTAGCTGATTATTGTCCCAGCTGAAAATTTACCTAGATTTTCATTTTCTCACAGTCAAAATTTAAGAACTTCAGATGCAGTTCAATGGAGACTAGAATTGTCTCAGTTATTTTGTTGCAGAGAGAGTTTTTTGTTCTGAAAGAGTTTAAAAAGCTAATTATTTGCCTACAGGGAATGAGACAATAGATAACATTTAGTTACTCTGCAGTAACCAGAGTAACTTCAGGGAGACCTAGTTCTTGCTATCATTTACAAAAGGGATATTCTGTTTGTATTGTGGAATCTCATGTGGAGTATGTGAAAGAGGTAATGGACCCATACACAATTACATCAAGATACATGCAACCTTTTGCCCGAGGAGCAAAAAAAAAGTGTCTTATTTGAGGATTTAAAACTATTCCTATCCTTTTAGTTTGATGCCATTATCAAAATTTAGGCTTTTTGGCAGCATTGTCCTTAATCATGGATATTAAAAGGAGGCATTAAAAGTTGTAGGTAGTGTCAGAGCTATGCCAGTATGAAACTTAAGAATGTCAACCTTTTTGTGTATTTAACATATTTAAGATGGAATTTCAGGAGAAAAAGAGGACAGAAGGAAAATGGTGCTCCTGACTACAGACCATATACTGTTTGCCTAATCAGAATATCTTTGTCCCTGTTTGCCCCTATTTAAACCACCTCTCTGGGGTCTCATTTGCAGCAAACCAGAACACTCCAAGTAGAGGCTCAATGAGCACTGCTTCTGGAGAGGAAAATATCCAGAGCATAATCTTCCATAGTAATGAGAAACTTTACTGACTCCATAATTTATAGTGGAAATAGCAGTGCAGGTTATTTAAGTAAAGATCCTCTGAGGAGAAATTTTTTTTTTTTAATGCGGACAGAAAATGACTGGCACAAAAATACTTTCAGTTTAGAAACACAGCAGTAGAGCAGAAAGCACTTGTTCTAAAGCAGTGAAATCCCCCTCTCTCAATTACATTTTTAAGGATTTATTTATACCTCTGGTGATAGTATTATCATTCGTTCAAGCAATTTCTATGTCTCTCCTTAGAGCTCAACATTCATATTTTCTTAAAAGAACAAAATATTTTCTAAAGTAAAACATGAAATCTTTCTGCTGCTTTTTATAATGGATCTGGTGTAAAACCTGAGTATAAGTCTAACACTTTAAAAGGGCATTAGGACAAAAATTCTGAAGGACTTTGTTAAAACAGGGGTCCTTGTTTACCATTTCCACAGACAGCTAAAAGTGAATTGTAATTTCAAAATATTTGTCATCAGGCTTTGTACAATTTTGTCAAGAAAGTAAGGTATCTGGCTTTAAAAGCTACTTTTAAAAATTTGTATAGGTCCTTACTATACTAACACTCTTTGTCAGCTTCAGTTTTGCCTTTATGATCTATTATCTCCTTTGTTGGCTGCTTTCTAATAGTCGCTCCAGTAGAATAATCTTCTCTAAAACACCACAAAGAAGTTGGAACCAAAACTCTTCCTCAGAACATACCAAACTGGCTAGAAATGTGAATTGTAAAGAAAAGGAAGCATATTGTGACCCGGTGGTACAATAGGTGTGAGGAATGATTTTTTTTCCCCTCTTCATTTCTCAGGAACTTCCCATGTTGCTGCAATATCCCAACAGAGGAGGATCAGATACTCCCTAAGGGATAGCAAGTGTTACTCTGACTTTCTTATGTTCTAGAACATCCTCTGGTGAAGGGGAACATACATACTTCCGGGGGTCAGTTAGTGAGGAATGACTAAGAGTGTTGTTCAATGCCACCAGTATTGGCTGTTCTCCCAAGCCGAGATTGGCTATTCTTTGGAGACTCCTGCTTGAGTCATAGTGGAAGGACTGTTACTGCAAACGTCTTTCATAAATGGATCCTACTAGTTGTTTTTCCATCACTCAGGACTTCTGCTCCTGAGATCTCTGCAGGTTTATAAGCTCTATTGTGCAGAACTTTACGCTGCAAACAAAAGTAGAAAAACAGAAGGCTAAAATACCTTTTTTTTTCAGACTCATATCTCTTATGTGCTTTACCTAATTGCTCTCAGATTTTCCTCAAGATTACTCATAGATTCACACATGGAAATTTCAAGTGAAGATATTTTATTTTCCTAAGGTCAGAAATGTAAGAAGCAAAAACAAAGGATCATGAAAAAGTATTAGCAGTTCAGGCACCAGACATTGCAAATCCTTGCATATACACGTTATCCCTTTAGATTTACTCAGTTCATATTTATATGAATTAGGGTAACTTTGCAAGAATTACATAACAGACTGTAATCTCACGTTCAATACGTTACGGCTTTCTTAATGCTAAAGAAACTGATATGTAACTTTTGGGTGCAAAGATTGCTAATGCCCATTTGGCTGATGTATTTATGGTTTTTTACTTTTGTAACAGTTTGTAGTGCACTGGGAACAAAATCTGTTTCCACACAACTCTAAGTTATAAACATGAGAAAGTCTAACATGCATGGAGGGAGGGGTTAAGGTAAAATATGATCCACCAGGTGTAACCTAGTGTTTCTAACTCAAGGTTATTCCTTTTGTTTTTGAATAAAAAGTCTTTCCCTGGCAAACATGCCCTCAGATGTCAGACATTAATTTCTGCACTCTCTCTCTTCTTAATTATTTTAATTATTTTTCCTTTCTTATGAGTAGGGACTATGGCCTTCGGAACCCTTGCAAACTCAATGACCCTGCTAGGGTCACCCCTTCAGAGCGTGTAGCCAAAGGATGCAGCGCTAGTGGCAGCTATCCATTGCTCAGGGCTTTCCTAGGGAGCAGGAGAGGAAAATTAGCAACGTGAAAAGTCCTCTGCACTGGAAGGTTTTAAACTGTGGTTAGGAGGCAGCTCCTGGCTCATGGGGCCATTATAACCATCTGACTTTTAATGACAAAAAATAGTTAATCTATACATAGTACAACTATAAGAAATAGTTAATCTATGCATATTGCAGTGTAACTGATTCTGGATTTTCCAGGATAAGTAGTATGTTCTATGCATCTTTCATTAGAATATGATTTTATATATACGCTAGGGCTTTGTAACTGAAATTAAGAGAATGTGGCTTTACAACCTAGGTAGGTTGTCTACAACAAGGTAGAGTGCAGACTGGCATGGGTTAATCTAAACAGCTCTAGATGCAAGATTTTGAACAAGTTTTAAATATAGTCTATTTTTTACTATTAATTCTCTCTCTCTCCTTTTTAAGATTCCAGATTCCATTATCTCTCGTGGCGTTCAGGTGCTCCCACGTGATACAGCCTCTCTCAGCACTACCCCTTCAGAATCTCCTCGTGCCCAGGCCACCTCTCGTCTCTCCACTGCATCCTGCCCAACACCAAAAGTAAGTACATTTATGCCTTGCAAGCTCCAATGTCAAACATCTGATCTATGAGATTGATGTTTCCCTCTCCTAATGAAAGTTGGTTCGCATGCAAGGGATGTATCTTTCTAAGTAACAGATAAATGCAAGCTAGTATAGTTCATTCCACGTGTACTACTGCACAATTTAGTATGTGGATCCACCAACATGTTACAGTTACTGAAGTTCCATGTTCTCTCTTGCAATATCAGTCATGAATATGAAATTGTTAATCCCCTGAATGTCTTTAATGTCCCAAGGAATGTAGATAATCCTGCCACTGAGTAACTGCATTAAGGAAATAGTATTTTGTCAACAAAAAGTATGTGCAAATTTCTAGCCTGGGCTGGGGCAGTTCTGCCCCACTCTAGTACTGATGGATTTAAGACAGTTTCAAGCCAACTTGTTTTGCACAAACTTAGATATTTGCTGCCTGACATTTGGAAACAACTCTAAATTGACTAGAAAGAAAGTTTTAATGCCAACCTTGTGGGATTATTTTTCAATTCTTACTGATTATGCTATATCATTTAATCATTTAGGTAACCTCTATTAATGTGTTTTATCAAACTTTAAATAGCGTATATCAAAAACTAAGTGAATCAACCAGTGGCAAGGCCTGTTATATTTACTTTCAGTAGGATTGCTTTCAATAGAAGAATTCTCTGTCTGAATGCACTTTATGAGTTCATGTCACAAAGATCTTTCTTTGGCACCAGATACTGACGTATTAATAGGCTTGTAGCAGATGGCAAACAGTAACATTCTTCCTCATCTAATTCATGATCCTTGAGGATTATTCTGCTTTTCTAAAGTGACTGCCAGCATCTGCTGGTTCTTCTTACTTGCTACCTCATTCTTTTCTGTCAGCAAACAAGATTTACTGGCAACCACCCATAGAAATGTTTTGATTTAGCTTATGGGATAGTTTTATGCAGTACTCACTTTCACTATAACAGAATCAAAATTATTTAAGTGGATAGCATATGTAAGCTTCATTATATATATAGCCTACTTTTCTTAAGAGGTTCAGTGAATTCTGTCTGCATTTCCTTCATTCGTTGGCTAAAAAAATTGCCACTTACCTGGTGACTTAAAAATAAAAACACAAAGCATATTACATTAGAACTCAGAGCAGGAGAGGAGTACAAAACAGAGAAACTACACTCACTTTTCTGCCTCTTGACAAAACAGAAGAGGTCAAAGAAAACCAGAGACCAATAACAGGCATAAAAAAGAGCTATCGTTGCTAGAAAATAGCTCTAAATGAAGCGTACATATTTCAAGCAAGGTATCACAATGGGAAGGAGTAAAGCCTGCCTGTTGTGAAGCAGAACAGACTCCCCTAGACTATCATCAAAGATTCAGAGATTAGAAAAGGAAACTACGAGAATTTTGAAACAGATTTAAAAATCTGAAGCTTTTCTGTTGGAAATTAGCTGAGATGAGCTCTTCTCATAACTGGACTACAGCTTTGTCAATTCATGTTAGGCCACATTTTTCATTTATTACTGCAGAATCAGATTTTATTCAAAACACGTGAAACACCACCACTTTTATAACACAGGAATTGTCATGCAGGATCAGAGCAATAGTCTAGCTTTTCTATGATGTCTTCCAAAAGCAGGTGGTACAAGCTGCTGTGGAGAAAGATTTAAAAAAACCCAACTGTTAGCCGCTAGAAAATAAACTTGAAGGGTGATCTTGCCTGTTCCTATTACCTAGCGGTTGGATTTTGCACAAAAGTATGAGGTCCTTTGCCATTTAGGTCTTGTGGTTTTTTGCTTGTTACTTTAGAAGAAAACAAAACTCTATCCGCTCTTGTTATCCTTATGTTCAGTCCTTTTCTGTTACCCTCAAGTTCTCAAACATTACCTGACTTTCTCAAGAGATATGGTTCATTCATATTCCTGAAGATTATCAGTATGTCTAAATGAATTCACTTATCTCATTGTGCTTTTCCTTCTGGATCCTGGCTTTCTAATAATGCAATATGAATGTAATTTACAGTGGACCTCTTGATCCTTACTGTAGTGAGGATGAAGCTGAATTGTAATATAGCATCCAGTTTTTTCTCTAATGTGCAAATGTGTGTCTTTTAAATATTCTCACGCTATGGTTTACAAACTCATTTCAGAGCTCCTAAACCTGTATATATGACCTGAAACATAAGAGAGGAAGTTTCAGCAAAAAGCAGTTTAAAGCTTTCTTTAATCATGCATATTGTTTGGAGTTGTGGTCCCACCAAAGAGCTAGAGGCACTGGTTATCTTTGTGAACTACATATTCCAGTTTATTTTGTTGCACCATTTTGTTATTGTGTTTTTTGTCCTAAATGTGCATAGCAGAAAGTTCTGTGTCCCTCTTAGAAAAAAAACAAGTTTCTGCAATGATGGGATCTATATTGAACCTAAGTAAGTAGCAGGTTGCTAATGTTTGAGTGTACTGGAGAGAAAGTGTGGGAGATGGCGTCACTGCTACCACCACCACCACTACCACCACCAGCCTTAACTGGCCTGTTAAGAAAATTCTTTACCTTTTCATAACTTTATTTTGTAAAAATTAATGTTGTTTATGCATACACACAGAGCTTGTAGACAGACACAAAATATGAAATATGATTTTAAATTTTCATAACTGTTTATACTTTGTCCTCCATATTTTCTAAAAATCTAACAAAGTAGTAAATGATGTATAGTGAGTTAGAGCCTATGTATCTCAACCAGTCATCACAAGTTTAATTCTTTCATAAAAGAAGGAGTTATCCTTTTCACTATAGCCTTTTGTGAGGTCAGGACTTTTCAAGACAAATTTTCATTGGGACTGCTCCATCGATCTTTGGGTAAATCCCCCAAACTAAGCACCCTCAGTTGTTCTTTAAGCGGTTGATAAATCTCCGTAGAGCCTCTTGCTTGTTCTGCAAATTGCATTTGGGTTTTGAGCAAAATCCAGTATGGTTCAAGGAGCATTTAAACCATATTCAGATATAGAGGCAATCCTAAGTTTTACTCAGGGGGAAACTGCACTAACAATGCACCTTTTTTCAGTCATTCAGCCGTGAAGTTGATAGTGATTGTAACTGATATTTTTACCTTCTACAATATAGTTCTGGCCCTCTTTAAATTACACTGCTTTCTCAAAAAGGCTAAATGAATGTGCTGAATACCCACATGACAAAAGTTAAGGATGGTACAGAGAGGCTCTCAAGTTTTGCATGTAATTTTAAATAGTTACTCAGATTATGAGATCCTACTGTAATGTTGTCTATGTATGTTCTTAAATACAGCATTCTTTTCAGCTACAAAAGCAATGCATTAGTCAGTGTAAAATTATTTCTACGAGTATGGAGTTTTTTTTAGTGTTTGCATTAATGTTGACTTTTTTGTTTCATTTTGTTTTTAAACTTGCAACATACAATTTTAGACCTACAACTTCAGATAGCTTAAATGAGTACATCCAAAGCAAAGGACTGAGTCAATCCTTTAAACTTCTCATTTTGTTCTACTCTTAGGAAGATGATATTACTATGAGAGAAAATTGCATCTTTCAAGTTCAAGCCTTTGCTTCTCCCATATTTAAATGGCATAATCAATATTTAATTTTTACCCATGTTGTGTGTCAAAGTCAAATGAAGCAGATATGGAAGACCAAGAACAGGATTTAAATTATCACCAGGAATACATTTCAATGACTTTTAACAAAATAACAGACTAATGAGAATTAATTCTGTGGCAAAATATATTTTATTATCTCAGTCATCTCTAGACATGGGTGCCAGTTTTCCACACTGTAAAATGGGTTACAAACTTAGAAATAAAACTAACTTTGATTTATATTTTTAGTCTAGCATTGTGACTTTGAATATATGCAATTTCTGTGTGAAGTAATGACATTAGATGGGAACAGGTAGAGTTGAGAAAATACTTTTATGTGAATTATTTCTTTTTCAGTTGAAAAAAGATCAGATTGCTTACCAGAAATTCTTAGATAATACTAAGTTGTTGTTTAGGACATGGTTTGGCAATCTGTAATTTTATCCATAATGTTGATATTTTATGTACATTGGGTGAGATAAATGTATATGTTTGGTACCATGATTTCTGCTATTTCTTCTTAAGATGATCATCCAGATGAAAACAATATGGCAAGTGTGAATGTATTTTAAAATTTGTAATCTGTTTGAAATACTTATACAATCTATGAGAAATGTGAGCCCTGGACTGTTGTATCCAAAGAATAGAATTCCTGCCATGAACAACAAAAAAATCCTTACCTAAATATTTCTAAGGAAAAACATTCTTTTAAGGTAAATACTGAACTATGAGTGATTTTATACTCTTGCTTTTAACATATTGTAACAGCAGCATTAACATATTACTTACTGCTTTTTCTTGAATTATTCCATTGCCTCAGAATCAAATACCCATTTGGCATTTGTGGGACATTCTAGAAATTATTCAAATTGTAGTATTCAAAATGACTAAATTTTGCTAATATTATTCCACACAGTTCCACTAGAGCTGCATTTCATTTTTTATCTTTAGCAAAGCCTTCTTTCCTAATCTAAAAGTACTAGTATTTGTACTTCTGTAATATGTAGTCAGTGTTTATATTCTGTATAGGCAGACAGAAGCAGTTACATGTTTGTGTCTAAATGCTGCCTGAATTAATCAGGTATTTTGATTAATTAAAGTAGTGAGCAATAAAATGGTGTACTTGCTCATCTTTTAGTTTTCCTCTGTTTTATAGCTGCTGGGTGGTTACTTCCTAAGAATATGTATCCAACTTTAGGAATCTTGGCAAATTTGGTGATATTTCATTGTTCTAGCAAAAAGTAAATGCTAATACTGGCCTGATGATTTCTTTTTCCTGTTGACCTTCTGAAGGGGAGCATGCACTAAATTCTGCAAGTAATGTTTTTCTTCTTTATTTATGAATTTGAAGTTTTCTTATGCTGTCATCTTTGCTACCTGGGAACTTGCT